ACGATCAATTTCAATTATTCCAGCAGTCGAGCAACCTTAGCAACCACTACCACGTGTGAATGTGTGCGAAACTGCGAACGTCTACGCGTGCTTATGTGATATTCTTCGCTTTCGAGGCCGTCATTGTAATTCGAATTTTTACGTCAGGGGTGGCTAGGTTATTTCCACGTAAATAATGGAGTCAATTAGAGCAGCTAATTATTTTTCAGAGTCCCGCCGCTTCCCGCCGCTTAAACTCGTCAATCATTCTCAAAAAGTATGGTAGAAAATAACGGTGGCGTGAGCGAGCTTTTGAAACATTGCATATTCAGGAAGGAAGAATTTACATTTATCTGCCACACGCAAACCCGCAAATATATACAATTAAAATATGCGTACAAAAAGTTATTTACTATTACATGTACATTCATTTATAATTAGGTTCTCCTGCAGAGCGCTTTAATGCAAAAGTCCGATACGTGAAATCATATCCGAAAGTCCGATTTATTTTTGCTCTCTTATGAATAATTTTGTCATGATAAGACGCGATTATTTTTAATTTATTTGGAATTATTATTGGAATTTTCTACAATTTTATATTTCACATTAATATAAAAGCGTATCGCTATCGTAGGCGGATATTTCCACCTTTAAATTTATTAGCGCGACTTTAATCGCGTATTTCTTTTTGTAGGGAGTTCTCTAGAGAGAACAAAAGTTATTTCAATAATTCCCTAAGGTATACCATTGGTTCGCAACCAGGCTTGCAAATTTTTGTAATATTTTATAAAGTACTAGCGGAGCCGTAAAAAAACTTTACGTCTGTGAAACTAGTAAAACTGGCGTGAAGTTCCCAGTGTATCGTGGCAGAAATTTCTTATACGGCCCGGCAGAAAAATCCGTTGCTCTTTTCTTCTCCGATTGTCTCATTCGTACTTTATTTGAAACACACGTAACCGTAAGTTCCTGGAAATACTCGGAATTGTTCTGTAAAATATGCTCCGTTTATAAAAATTTTTCTAATCCTCTTCCACTTAAAAAAATTCTCCTCTTGAATTGTTTTCTCTTTTAATTTATTTGATATAGAAGTTGTATAATTATTTGCAGTATAACGCGTTTTCTTTTCATAAGTAAAAATAAAAATTATTTATCTACATAAATTAGACGCTTAGAAATTGCTTATATAAATTAGATACATACACGGTCTAATAAATTGAAAACTGCATTTTTTAAATTAAGTAATTTGAAATAGTTTTGTTTACTTGGTCAACGTTAGCTGGTATTAAATTGTCGCTAAAATTTCATGGCGGACATGATGGGAACCGGAGGTAAATAAAAAGACTGCAAAGCTTGCGAAGCGTGCGATCGGAAAGAGCGCAATGAGTAGGGCGGCGGTTTGCGGCCATCGTAGACACGATGAAGAGGATCTCTGCTTCTCCTACCATGAAGACCTAGTTTACCTTGGCGTCGCCGGTGCTCTCTCCTTTGTACAGAAAGTGTCATAGCGGCTCTCGATCAATGCTACTGTGTTCGGAGAGTTACGTTTCTCTTACTATCTAGCTGAAACAGCAAACATCCAACGCTTCTGTGTCGGCTGTAGAGATTAGTTCAGTTAACTTTATCTCTAATAACGTATAATTGGCTCGAGTACTTTTTATTATATCTACGTACAGAATGTTTTATGACTTATTGTCATCGAGATGAAGAAAATTTTAAAGACTGGATTTTTATATAAATTTAACAAAAATTATTGATTATAAAATATTATATTATT